ATCTTTCTACTATCCTGAGCAGCTGAAGTTCCGTGGAATGCTTTCCTCGGAATCCAAACTGTTCAGGCGGAAGCAAATCAAGCTCGCTCGTTTCCTCCTTGAGTCTCCTCAGTATAGCCCTTTCGGCTACTTTACTGAAAGCGGGCAACCAAAGACAAGTTTGACTTGACTTGTCTCTGACGTCACATCAACGTGAGTATCTCGAAAATATGTCTCGAGAAATGATGTCTGTTAGCGCCGTACACAGACAGCAGTTGAAAATGTCACATTTTGTCTCTTGTCTTCTCTTTAGTTGTATTGAACAGAACGGTTCACGAGGTTCAAGTATAAATTCGGGAAAAAATGAACGGAATGAAACAAAATAAACGTCTTAAAGCGCACATTTTCATTGCAAGTATTTCAACTCGTAGAGGTAGACAGAAAAACACAATTTAAAGAAATGACAAACACAAATAGTAAAAAACAAATTAATAGTATTCAAAATCGAGCAAGCTTTTAAAATCATGTGAGATTTACGTATTTAGAGATACGGAATCGGAAATTACGAAAGTCCATAAAAGTAAAGGTGAACTTTTTATATTTTAAAGGTCCGTCAAAGTTTAATACCGCGCAGCTCGGACACAATTAAAAATAAATTAATAATTGTTGGGGCTTCTTCTATGGAGCATCTCTCCTTTTCCGAATTAGGCTTTATCAGAAATAACTAGCATTTTAAAAGAAAGAGAGATCTGAAAATTTAAGACACCACAAAGTTCTCGACCCCATATGTATAAAACTCTTTGAAATATCTGAATAATTGTTAGAAATATTGCTTTTCATTTTGATGGCATGTTCTTGAAGCTATCTTAAACCTAAAATATTTGCGGTATCTATAAATTACTCTTTAGGATACTGAGAGAGTCTTAATGACTTAATGAAAATTAGCTATGCAGACTAATTCAAAGATCAGACTATGAAGGCTTTCACGGCCGGTCAGATTACATTTAGAAATGTTTTCCGGGCTTTGAAGCCGTGGTCTATCGGAATTTCTTCCTGACGTTT